ATTTCGCTTAACATTATACTCTCTAGTCTCATCCATGTTGCAAATGGCAAGATTTTCGTTCTCTTTTATGGCTGAATAATATTCTATTATATAATATTCTACTATATATAAAATATTCTATTATATATATAATATTCTCTTATATTTGTAGTATATCTTGATATCAGGGACTGTGCTGGTTCTAGTTTTTTCTTTTTCAAGATTGCTTTGGCCATTTGTGGCCTTTTTTGGTTCCATACAAATTTTAGGATTACTTGTTCTAGTTCTGTGGAAAGTGCTGGAGGTATTTTGATAGGGATTACATTAAATCTGTAGGTTGCTTTGGGTAGTATGAACATTTCAACAGTATTTATTCTTCTAGTCCATGAGCACAGAATATCTTTCCATTTATTTGTGTTGCATTCAATTTTTTTTTAATTTTTTTATTATTATGTTAATCACCATACATTACATCATTAGTTTTTTTGATGTAGTGTTCCATGATTCATTCTTTGCATATAACACCCAGTGCTCCATGCAGAATGTGCCCTCTTTAATACCCATCACCAGGCTAACCCATCCCACCACATCCCTCCCCTCTAGAACCCTCAGATTGTTTCTCAGAGTCCATAGTCTCTCATGGTTCGTCTCCCCCTCCAATTTCTCCCCCTTCATTCTTCCCCTCATGCTATCTTCTTTTTCTTTTTTTTTTTTTAACAAATAATGTATTATTTGTTTCAGAGATACAGGTCTGTGATTCATCTGTCTTACACAATTCACAGCACTCACCATAGCACATACCCTCCCCAGTGTCTATCACCCAGCCACCCCATCCCTCCCACCCCCCACCACTCCAGCAACCCTCAGTTTGTTTCCTGAGATTAAGAATTCCTCATATCAGTGAGGTCATATGATACATGTCTTTCTCTGGTTGACATTTCGCTCAGCATAATACCTTCCAGTTCCATCCACATCATTGCAAATGGCAAGATTTCATTCCTTTTGATGGCTGCATAATATTCCATTGTATATATATACACACCACATCTTCTTTATCCATTCATCTGTCGATGGACATCTTGGCTCTTTCCACAGTTTGACTGTTGTGGACATTGCTGCTATAAACATCAGGGTGCACATACCCCTTCAGATCCCTACTTTTGTATCGTTGCAGTAAATACCCAGTAGTGCAATTGCTGGATCATATGGTAACTCTATTTTCAACTTTTTGAGGAACCTCCATACTGTTTTCCAGAGTGGCTGCACCAGCTTGCATTCCCACCAACAGTGTGGGAGGGTTCCCCTTTCTCTGCATCCTCGCCAACATCTGTCATTTCCTGACTTGTTAATTTTAGCCATTCTGACTGGTGTGAGGTGGTATCTCATTGAGGTTTTGATTTAGATTTCCCTGATGCCAAGCGATGTTGAGCACTTTTTCATGTCTCTGTTGGCCATTTGAATGTTTTCTTTGGAAAAATGTCTGTTCATGTCTTCTGCCCATTTCTTGATTGGATCATTTGTTCTTTGGGTGTTAAGTTTAATAAGTTCTTTATAGATTTTGGCCTTTAATCTATACTAGCCCTTTATCTGATATGTCATTTGCAAATATCTTCTCCCATTCTGTCGGTTGTCTTTTGGTTTTGTTGACTGTTTCTTTTGCTGTGCAAAAGCTTTTTATGATGTTTTATAGATCTCAGAGGTCTTTCACCTCCTTGGTTAAGTTTATTTTATTATTTTTAGTATTTTAATATTTTAGTATTTTTGGTGCAATTGTAAATGGGATTGTTTTCTTGTCTTTCTGCACCTTATTATTAGTATATAGAAATGCAACAAATTTCTGTATGTTGCTTTTGTATCCTGCAACTTTACTGAATTCATTTATCAGTTCTAGTAGCTTTTTGGTGGGCTCTTTAGAATTTTCTCCATGTAGTATCATGTCATCTGCAAATAGTGAAAATTTTATTTCTTCCTTGCCTATTAGATACCTTTTATTTCTTTTGTTGTCTGATTGCTGTGGCTAGGCCTTCCAGTACTATGTTGAATGAAAGTGGTGAGAGTTGACATCCTTATCTTGTTCCTGGCCTTAGGGAAAAAGCTGTCGGTTTTTCCCATTGAGTATGATGTTTGCTGTGGGTTTTTCATATATGGCCTTTATTACGGTGAGGTATGTTCCCTCTAGACCTACTTTGTTGGGGGCTTTTTATCATGAATGGATGTTGTACTTTGTCAAATGCCTTTTCTATATCTATTGACATGATCATATGGTTCTTATCCTTTCTCTTATCGATGTGATGTATGGCTTTGATTGATCTGCAAATATTGGACCACACTTGCATCCTGGGAATAAATCCCACTTGATCATGGTGAATGATGTTTTTTGATGTATTGTTGGATACAGTTTGCTAGTATTTTGTTGAGGATTTTTGCATCTCTGTTCTCAGAAATAATGGCCTGTAGTTCTCTTTTTTTTGTGGTGTCTTTATCGGGTTTTGGTACAAGCGTAATACTGGCCTCATAGAATGAATTTGGAAGTTTTCCTTCCTCTTCTATTTTTTGGAATAGTTTGAGAAGAATAGGTATTAACTGTTCTTCTTTTTCTTTTTTTTTTTTTTTTACTTTTTTAATTTTATTATGTTATGTTAATCACCATACATTACATCATTAGCTTTTGATGTAACTCTTCTTTAAATGTTTGGTAGAATTCCCCTGTGAAGCCATCTGGTCCTGGACTTTTGTTTGTTGGGAGTTTTTTGGTTACTGATTCAATTTGATTGCTGGTAATTGGTCTGTTTGAATTTTCTACTTCTTATTTCAGTTCTGATAGGTTATATGTTTCTAGAAATCTATCCATTTCTTCTAGGTTGCCCAATTTGTTGTCATATAGTTTTTCCATAATATTCTCTTACAATTGTTGGTATTTCTGTGGTGTTGGTTGTTATTTCTCCTCTTTTATCTGTGATTTTGTTTGAGTTTCTTTCTTTCTTTCTTTCTTTCTTTCTTTCTTTCTTTCTTTCTTTCTTTCTTTCTTTTTTCTTATGAGTCTGGGTAGAGATTTGTCAAAAATTTTGTTGATTTTTTTTAAAGAACCAGTTCTTGGTTTCATTGATCTATTCTTTTTTTTTCAAATTTATTCATTTCTGCTCTTGTCTTTATTACTTCCTTCTTCTGGTTTTGGGTTTTGTTTTCTTTTTTCTAGCTCCTTTAGGTATAAGGTTAGATTGCTTATTTGAGATTTTTCTTGCTTCTTAAGGTAGGCATATATTGCTATAAAACTTAGAACTGCATTTGCTGCATACCAAAGGTTTTTGACTGTTTTGTTGTCATTTTCATCTGTTCCCATCTAATTTTTTATTTCTTCTTTGATTTCTTGGTTGGCTCATTCATTGCTTGGTAGCATGTTAACTTCCATGTATTTGTGCTTTTCCAGATTTTTTTCTTGTGGTTGATTTCTAGTTTCATAGTATTGTGGTCAGAAAAGATACATGGTATTACTTTGATCTTTCTGAATTTGTTGAGACTTGTTTTGTTGCCTAATATGTTATCTACTCTGGAGAAGTTCCATCTGCGCTTAAAAGGAATGTGTATTCTGCTATTTTAGGATGGAACATTCTGAACATACCTGTTAAATCCACCTGGTCCAGTGTGTCATTCAAAGCCACTATCTCCTTGTTGATATTCTGTTTAGATGATCTGTGGGGTGTTAAAGTCCCCTACTATTATTGTTTTACTATCAATTCATTCCTTTATGTTTGTTATTAACTTTTATTACATATTTGGGTGCTCCTATGTTGGGTGCATAAATATCTACAATTTTTATATCTTCTTGTTGAATTGTTCCCTTTATGATTATGTAGTGCCCTTCTTTGTCTCTTGTTAGTCTTTGTTTTAAAGTCTATTTTGTCCAATATAAGTATTGCTACCCCAGTTTTCTTTTGACATCCATTTGCACAATAGTTGTTTCTCCATCCTTCTGCTTTCTTTTTTTTTTTTTAAAGATTTTATTTATTTATTTGAGAGAGAGAATGAGAGAGAGAGAGCATGAGAGGGGGGAGGGTCAGAGGGAGAAGCAGACTCCCCGCCGAGCAGGGAGCCCGATGCGGGACTCGATCCAGGGACTCGATCCAGGGACTCCAGGATCATGACCTGAGCCGAAGGCAGTCGCTTAACCAACTGAGCCACCCAGGCGCCCTCCATCCTTCTGCTTTCAAAATGAGTCTCCTGTAGGCAACATATTAGATGAGTCTTGTTTTTTTATCCACTCTGTCACCTTATGTCTTTTGATTGGAGTATTTAGTACATTTACATTCAAAGTAATTATTGATTAAAAAAACAACAAAGTAATTATTGATAGTTATGTATATTGCCATTTTGTTACTTGTTTTGGGGTTGTTTCTCTAGTTTTTGTCTAATCCTTTCTTCTCTTGCTCTCTTTCCTGGTTTGTTGGTTTTCTTTAGTGATACACTTGAATTCCTTTCTCTTTATTCTTTACATTACTGGGTTTTGATCTATGGTTACCATTAGGTTTGTATACAACATCTTATGTAAATAACAGTTTATATTAAGTTGAATGTTGTTTTAGTTTGAACCCTTTCTTTACCCCCTCCCCTATTTTAAGTATATTCACCATCTTAAATCTTACCATGCAGCACTGTTCTGGGTGAGAAAGGTTCAAGGTATAAAACAAAGATGAAACCTCCTCTAATAACCGATCAGTTTCCCACAAACCTGGAATCCCCTGCCTGTACATACCTGTGTGAACTGTGAAGTAGGCCTGTGTGAACTGAGGCATACAGCAGAGCGAGATGGCAAGAGTAATAACAGTCTCCGTGTTGCAACTTTACTTTTTCAGCCACCCTGTCCCCAGCCCCTCACAATGGCTAAAGCACTATTTTCTCTCTTGAGAATCCCTTTAGAGCAAAGTAGAGAAAGTAGTCTAAGAAATACTCATTATCAAGAAAAATTTAATTTCATATGTACATATAATCTACTCTTTCCACTTTTTATCTGTTTTCATCCCTAGGATGCGACATTATCTGCAAGGAAATGTGTGGTCAAATAGCCAGAGAAGAAGAGGTCAGTGCTACTAATTATTTTAAATGTAACTAAAATGTTTTCTGGGAGTACCAAAGTTTTCATGATTCATTCAAAATTGTTATGTAATTTCTTTTAGATTTGGTAAAAACTTTTTATTATGAAATAACTCAGATTACATAGATCTTCAACTTTATTTTATAAAATTATAACCTTTTTAACCTCCTAATAGTAAAAAAGAAGTAATATACTAGCTCTTAGCATTGTTTACCTTTCATTAAATGCATAAGAAACATTTGATCATGATGGATCTGAATTAGAGATTTACATCCAATAAATTCTGCCTTTTATGTTTCATTATGTGTTGGAATTGATAATATATTTATGTTGTTTTGATCAATTATGTCCTAAAATAATAATTCTAATGCAAACTAAATCTGTAAGAAAAATTAATCCATAGAGTATTATGATCACATTGAAATGTAAAATTTCAGTTTCCATACATTTGTTTTGTATGGTGGGATAACCAAAAAGACACTTCCAATCATAACAATATAGTCTGAGGATAAAAAGCTGTGGAGAAACTGACTTGGAAAAACAGGTTCAAGAAGAAAAAACTACCTTCATTTTTTTAATGTATATTGGTGAGTATCAAATTGTTATGGTTTTATAATTCCATTTGATGCTTTTAAAAGATGGGTACATTTTATTTTTGATGTTCAGTATTTGCATCAATGCAACTATTTAAACTTATGTGAAATTTTAAAATGTCAACTAAAAATATGTAATGAACAGTTTTAAAATTCTTTTAGGGAGTATGTGACAAAAGTTTTTGTAAACTACTATTCTTCAAAGGTAGTCCTGTTATCAATGCCTCACAGAAAAAGGTATCTGGATTAAATAAATTTGGAGAATATTTCAAATCCCCATTTTGAAAACTTAACAACACATATTGAACATTCTGAGAAATCTTATGGTGAAAAAAAACATGTTAAATTTGACTTAATCCAGTGTCTCCAAAACTTATTGATCCCAGATCTCTGTTTTCTCAAATATACTTTTTAATGTCTATGGGATAGTTTTGGGGGAAAGCTGCTCTGTCATATCCCCCTAGCTACTTAAACTAAATAAGTGTCCTGATTAAAAATTTGTGAGTGAAATAGTAAGTGAGAAAAGTAGAATAAAATAATATTGACACACATGACAACCATGCAAAACTGTTTATTGGTTGAAATAATTTGGGGACAAATATAAACAGGTTAGTATTTACTTGTTCTTTTCTTTGTAAAGTTGCTTAAGACAAAGACAAGTAAGAAGAAAAGGGAGAGTGAGGAAGGGTGTGTCTAGGCAGGCAGGAAGGAATTATAGCTGATGACTGATTAATTCATGAAAAGGAGGAGAAGGCCCTCAGTACAAAATAGGGCTTGGGACCCCAAGGGTCATCCAGGTCCTAGAAGATGTACTGGGCCCACAGCAAACATCAATATCTGGGGAACTGTCTCAGCCAAAGAAGTTATTTTACCTGTAGAGCTCAGCTCTTGAGAATAATTACTCACTGCAATCTGGTAGACACAGCAAGCTTTATTTCATGGGCAAAAGGGCCAGTCTCAAATTCGGATATGAACAGTTTATGCCATTTGGATAAGCCATCTCCAGATCATACCATTTCTCTAATAAACCATCTTGGGAAGAACAGTAGCAGGTGGTTGAGGTTTATGATCTCCAGGGGAGCTAAGTTTCTTCTTCCCAGAGAATTCATCTCTTGCAGGTGCTCACATTTCTGTGGCAGATTCAGGTGTCACATCTCAAAACATCTGTGAAACAAAGCTGCCCAGCTTTAGAAGGAAGAAGGGATCTTAGGTGAGCAATACCATATCAAATCCAGTATAAGGCTCTTTGTCACCTACATTGAACACATTCTGTAGAGAGCCACCAGTCTCTAGTCCTCCAAATAGACTAGCCTCCTGGATGAGAATAGTTACTACTGTGATTCAGCTAGGCCTACATCATGACAGGAGGGAAGAGAACAAGCTCAGAATACCATCTTTAGTCTAAGGAAATATTTGGGCAGCTGAGCTCCCTAAATAAAGTTGTTACTCCTTAAAAGTAATCTACCCATGATTATCTGAGAGTTTATCTAATTGCAGATTATCTATATTAATCGTATGTATGTGTGTATTCTGAAAAGAGCCACAACAATTTTCTACTATCCTACATGTTCTTATATTTTTACTGAGATGAAATTCAGTAGCATACAATTAACTACTTTAAAGTATACGGTTCAGTGGTATTTACAATATTCACAAGGTTGTACAACCATGAGGTCTAGCTATTTTCAAAAATTTTTCATTATGCCTTAAAAATATGTCTTATCCATTAAGTAATCACTCTTCACCTCCTCCCAACCCCCAGCCGATGCCTGGTAATTTCTAATCTTCCAATCCCTATGGATTTGCCTATTCTGAATTGGGGGGGAGGGGTCTTTATTCCTAAGGACTATTGGTCTGTAGGTTTTCTTATAGTATCTTTGTCTGACTTTGGCATCAGAATAATTCTGGCCTCATAGGGTGTGTTAAAATGTGTTCCCTTTTCTTCTATTTTTTGGGGAAGAGTTTGAGTAGAATTGGTGTTAATTCCTTTTTAAATGTTTGGTAAAATTTAGGGGACTTTCAGGGAAAATGGAAGAATAGGAGGACCATAAGCTCACCTCATCCCACAGATACAACTAGATAACTCACACATTAGTGCAAATAGCCCAGAAGATGACCCAAAGACTGGCAGAACAGACTCTTTGCAGTAAATGTAGAGAAGAGGCCACATCAAAGAGGGTAGGAAGGGCAGAGAGCTAAATAGGGACTATCCGCAGGAGGGAGGGACACCTCAGACATGCAGAAGGAGAGGACTAGACCCTCATACCAAGCACCCCAGGTGTGAGAAATCCTCATGAAAACCAGAGGGCCTGAATTTCACAAGTTCTTACAATCGGTGGGGCTTAACACCTGGAACTTTAAGAATCAGCAAGCTCAGCTCTGGGAGAGCAAGGAGGTGATAGGAAACTGAGTCCCTGCCCTTAAAGAGACACCACAACAAACAGCCCTGTGGAAATACAGCATAGAAGCATCAGTTTGAAAAACACCTGGGATATGTGAGAAGTGGATTTGTTTATTAATCTCAGATCCTTGGGAGACTTTAAGGAACAGAGGAGCTGGCAGGTGCCAATTCCTTTCCCAACCCACCAACTTAGACACATGGACACCTGCTGGGATCAGCCCAGTGCCAATACTCACTAAGTAACTTGCTAACACCATGCTTCCCACCCCCACATCCTCCTGCAGACCTGCCTCCTCCAATATGCCCTTGGCTAGAGTCCTATAACTTCCCAAAACTGAAACAGGAAGAAGTAGAAAATTCAAACAGACCAATTACCAGCAATCAAATTGAATCAGTAACCAAAAAACTCCCAACAAACAGAAGTCCAGAACCAGATGGCTTCACAGGGGAATTCTACCAAACATTTAAAGAAGAGTTAATACCTATTCTTCTCAAACTATTCCAAAAAATAGAAGAGGAAGGAAAACTTCCAAATTCATTCTATGAGGCCAGTATTACGCTTGTACCAAAACCCGATAAAGACACCACAAAAAAAAGAGAACTACAGGCCATTATTTCTGAGAACAGAGATGCAAAAATCCTCAACAAAATACTAGCAAACTGTATCCAACAATACATCAAAAAACATCATTCACCATGATCAAGTGGGATTTATTCCCAGGATGCAAGTGTGGTCCAATATTTGCAGATCAATCAAAGCCATACATCACATCGATAAGAGAAAGGATAAGAACCATATGATCATGTCAATAGATATAGAAAAGGCATTTGACAAAGTACAACATCCATTCATGATAAAAAGCCCCCAACAAAGTAGGTCTAGAGGGAACATACCTCACCGTAATAAAGGCCATATATGAAAAACCCACAGCAAACATCATACTCAATGGGAAAAACCGACAGCTTTTTCCCTAAGGCCAGGAACAAGATAAGGATGTCAACTCTCACCACTTTCATTCAACATAGTACTGGAAGGCCTAGCCACAGCAATCAGACAACAAAAGAAATAAAAGGTATCTAATAGGCAAGGAAGAAATAAAATTTTCACTATTTGCAGATGACATGATACTACATGGAGAAAATTCTAAAGAGCCCACCAAAAAGCTACTAGAACTGATAAATGAATTCAGTAAAGTTGCAGGATACAAAAGCAACATACAGAAATTTGTTGCATTTCTATATACTAATAATAAGGTGCAGAAAGACAAGAAAACAATCCCATTTACAATTGCACCAAAAATACTAAAATACCTAGGAATAAACTTAACCAAGGAGGTGAAAGACCTCTGAGATCTATAAAACATCAATGAAAGAAATTGAATGCAACACAAATAAATGGAAAGATATTCTGTGCTCATGGGCTGGAAGAATAAATACTGTTGAAATGTTCATACTACCCAAAGCAACCTACAGATTTAATGCAATCCCTATCAAAATACCACCAGCACTTTTCACAGAACTGGAACAAGTAATCCTAAAATTTGTATGGAACCACAAAAGACCCCAAATAGCCAAAGCAATCTTGAAAAAGAAAAACAAAACTAGAACCAGCACAGTCCCTGATATCAAGATATATTACAAAGCTGTAATAATCAAAACAGTATGGTGCTGGCACAAAACTAGACACAAAGATCAATGGACTAAAATAGAGAGTCGAAGAATAAGTCCATGATTATGTGGTCAGTTAATCATTTTTTTTTTAAGATTTTATTTATTTATTTGAGACAGAGAGAATGAGAGAGACAGAGAGCACATGAGAGGGGGGAGGGTCAGAGGGAGAAGCAGGCTCCCTGCCGAGCAGGGAGCCCGATGCGGGACTCGATCCAGGGACTCCAGGATCATGACCTGAGCCGAAGGCAGTCGCTTAACCAACTGAGCCACCCAGGCGCCCCATATGTGGTCAGAGACAAAGGACACAAGAATATGCAAGG